CTGCTGTCTTTTCTGTTTGTTCTCCTCCTGTTCATTTTGGATTTGAACTATTTCCATATACGTTCTCTCTGTCTCTCTCTCCCCTGCAGCATCCGTTCTGCATTTAATTGTAGTCTGGAGAGTCTATTTTCTCCAGATTCTGTGGACAATGGAGCCTCAAAAGGACCCCAAAAAGCATCTGCCCTGCATGCGTTTTGTTATAATCCAGGAAAAGGGATTTTAACTCCTCTGCCTTTCCCACCCAGCATAATATGCAGCCATCTGAGTGCAAGTCTTAATTTTTTGGGGGATCTATATGGCATATGTTTCTTCTCTCATCTTGTCCCCCTGCTTCTGTTCTGTGTCCCCCACCTGAAAGAAGCAAACAGAAAACCACAAACTGGTTCCTGCCTCCGCTGCTGAGACTATTGAAGGAGTAAACCACTGTTCAAAGAGCAAACTTTAGGGAAATCCTGCTTCATAGAGTCAGAGACTCATAGAATCATAGGGATGGAGGAGACCTCAGGAGGCCAGCAAGTCCAACCCCAACTAAAGCATCCCAGCCAGGGTTTTGTCAAGTGAGATCTTAAAAAACGTCTAACGATGGAGATTCCACCACTTCCTAGGGAACACATCCCAGTGCTTCACTGCTCTCTTAGTGAAATGTTTTTTTCCTAATATCCAACCTAGACCTCCCCCACGGCAACTTGAGACCATCGCTCCTTGTTCTGCCATCATTCACCACTGAGAACAGCCTCTCTCCATCTTCTTTAGAACCCCCCCCTTCAGGTAGTTGAAGGCTGCTTTCAAATCCCCCCTCACTCTTCTCTTCTGTAGACTAAATAAACCCACATCCCTCAGCCTCTCCTTGTAAGTCCTGTGCTCCAGTCCCCTAATAATTTTTGTTGCCCTCCGCTGGACTTTCTCCAATGCATCCACATCCTTTCTGTAATGGAGGGGGACAGAACTGGACGCAGTACTCCAGATGTGAGCTCACCTGTACCGACTAGAGAGGAATAATCACTTCTCTAGATCTGCTGGCAATGCTTCTCCTAATGCACCCCAATATGCCGTTAGTCTTTTTGGCTACAGGGCGCCCTGTTGATTCCTATCCAGCTACTTATCGACTGTAATCCCTAGGTCCTTCAACTGCATCGAGGTCACAGACTCACTGCTCTGGAATGTACACCAGAACCTGACGGGCTTCAAACCTGCAAGGGCTTAAACTTTTATTCATCCCCCAAAGTTGGCTCTATGGCCGTTACCTGAGAATGAGTTCTCCTTTTTGTGAGTGGGAAACTCCTGGAATCCCAAGGGCCATGATTTTACAGCCCACCAGAACTGTAAACCTAACCGTGGTTGTTCAGGTGCAGATCCAGTGTAATATAACTAAAAATCATCATGTGGCAAGTTTAGAGTCAGTAAATTATCAGATCCAGTGAATACTAAGCATGCTGCCTGGTAGAGATCTTGTGATTCAGTCTAGGCAAATGGAGGTGTTACCTCTTGAGGTCGCTTCCAGTTCTAGTATTCTGTGATTCTATGATTCTGCTGATGAAAGAGACAAGGTACAAGAGTTCTTCTTCAGGTGTAGCTCCGGAACACGTCTCCTTCAATTACCGAGGTTGGTGCAATGAAAAATATTACCTCACTCACCTTGTGTTCCTAAGTATATTACGTCAACACCGTTAGCTTTGTCAACCAAACATTTGATCTCATCAAAAGACAATATCAAGTTTGTTTGACAAGACTATTTTCCATAAAATGATGCTGGAGGTCATAAATAATCATAGAATCACAGAGTACTAGAACTGAAAGGGACCTCGAGAGGTCATCAAGTCCAGTCTCCTGCCCTCACAGCAGGACCAAGCACCCGCTAGATCATCCCTGATAGATGTCTATCCAACCTGCTCTTAAATAGCTCCGCCAGCTTCCCTGCCCTGCTGTCTTCAGGCTCTGGTGCCCCATGAGCTCCACTGCCTCACTGGCCCAGCTGGCTCGTTCCGCTCTGAGCTGCCAGCTATCTCTGCCACTGGGGCTCTCTAGTTCTGTGACCTCCATAGTCTTGCTGGACCACGGATGTTGCCAGACCAGAGAATTCCGGACCACAAAGGTTCAACCTTGTACTTAACCTTAAAGTTCTTGAATTTCCATAGGCTTGTTTACACGCCTAAACTGATTCTTTCTCAGCCTTTGTTACTAGTTAGACCCTTTTCTCCTGCAGCTGTCTGAAACACTCATTCCTCTTCCTTCCAGATGGTTCCCCTCCCTCCCAAAGAACCATTGTATTCTTGTTGCACCTCGTGGATAAAACAGGAATTTGTCCCTCGCCAAATCTGCCTTAATACACAAATGACCCCATCAATCAAGCCCAGAAATTTGTGGTCTAACCAGAGTGCACCGTGGGGGAGCACTTTCCTTTGCTTTGTTTTGTCGAACGGTCCAGTCCACAGTGATGGTGTCATGCGGCCCCTGAATTTCAGGCTGCTTCACAAGAAAAACCACATCACTTCCCCAAATTCCATCAGTGCTGCGTGAATGAAAATATCCGAGACGGGGCTGACCCTGTTTCTCTGCATCTCTTTTCCCTCAGAGCAACCACGTGTGATTACAATGGAGGAGAGAAATTGGACCCTTGTCACAGAGTTTGTTTTTGTGGGATTCACGGATCAACGAGACCTGCAGGTCCCCCTCTTCCTGGTGTTCCTAGCAATCTATGTGATCACCCTGGTGGGGAATCTTGGGATGATCATGCTAATCAGGGCGGATCCCCAACTCCACACTCCCATGTACTTCTTCATCAGTAATTTGTCCTTCTTAGACATCTGTTATTCCTCCTCCATCACCCCCCGGTTGCTGTCAGACCTCTTATCAGAGAGGAAAGTCATTTCTTATGCTGCCTGCCTTACGCAGTTTTATTTTTATGCGGTCTTTGCCACCGCTGAGTGCTACCTCCTGGCCGTGATGGCGTACGACCGATACGTGGCCATCTGTAACCCGCTGCTCTATGTTGCTGTCATGCCCCGCAGAGTGTGTGCTCTCCTGGTGGCTGGCTCGTATCTTGCGGGGGTTCTGAATTCCCTGGTGCATACAAGTGTTGCCCTTCGGCTGTCCTTCTGTGGCCCAAATGTCATCAACCACTTTTACTGCGACGGTCCCCCTCTCTACGCACTGTCCTGCACCGACACCCACCTCAATGACATTGTGATGTTTGTGTTTGTCGGCTTCAATATGATTGTGACTAACTTGACCATCCTCATCTCGTACATCTACATCCTGGCCACCATCCTGAGGATCCGCTCAACCGAGGGCAGGCGCAAAGCCTTCTCCACCTGTGCCTCCCACCTGACGGCTGTCGCCATTTTCTACGGAGCAGCGGGGTCCATGTATTCACGACCCAGTTCCAGGCACTCACAGAACCTAGATAAAGTGGCCTCCGTGTTCTACACGGTGGTGATCCCCATGCTGAATCCCCTAATCTACAGCCTGCGGAACAAGGAGGTGAAGGGCACCCTAAAAAAATGTTTGATGAGAAAAGATTTTTCCTCCCACTTCTGAGAACATGCCTCTTGGTTAATCTAAAGGGTAAATTTGTACCCAAATTTTAGAATAGACACTGAGAGAGAAAAGTTAGAATCAGTCTCAATATATATTACATCAGCCTTTTAGCGATTTAGTTGTAATCACATAAAAAAAGAGATACTTTAAGATCTATTTGGCCTAAAACCATGTTGATTGGCATTGATTATATTGCCATATTTTAACTAACAGAGTCCTGAAGCTGGGTCATCCCATTTACTATTTTTAAATATTGGCATAACAGTATTTTTTTCCAATCATCTGGAATTTCCCTGGTATTTCAAGACTTATTGAAAATCAACATTAAAGGTTCAGAAAGCTCCTCAGCCAGCTCTTTAACAACTCTTGGATACAAGGTTTTTGGATCTGTTGATTTAACAATGTCTCATTTGGGCAAAGAGAGATTTTAGGCTATGTCTACACTATGAGTTTTGCCAGAAGAGGTAATGCAAATGAAGCATGGATTAGCATTTTCTTGCACTTCATTTGCATACTGTCTTCTGATCCGTTTTTGAGTTAGGGGTTTTTATGCAAAAACAAGCAGCGTGGACATTTCCTTTTTGCACAAAACCCCGTTTTTGTGCAACATCCTTATGCCTCAAAAAAGGAGGTATACCGATCTTGCACAAAGAGGGGTTTTGGCACAAAAAGGAAATGTCCACACTGCTTGTTTTTGCGCAAAAACCCCTAGCGCAAAAATGGATCAGAAGAGAGTATGCAAATGAAGTGTGAGAAAATGATAATCTGTGCTTCATTTGCATTGTCTTTTCCGGCAAAACTCGTAGTATAGACGTAGCCTTATATATCTTTACGCTTTTGGACATGAGTGGCTAGCCAGAAATTTTGGGCTCTTGTGGGCTGTGCTAGCTAGGAAAAAACATTGATGATGGAGTCTGGTCCCACCCCAAAGGCTCTTAAGGAAACTAAGCAATGATGGGATAACAGGAAACATCCTCTCCTGGATCAGTAATTGGTTAAAAGATGGGGGTGGGGGAGGGAAGGGCAGTTTTAGACAATAGGTTTTCACAATGGAGGAAGATAAAAAGCAGCATCCCTCAAGGTTCTATATTGGGACTTCTTCTATTCAACATAATGATCTGGAAAAGGGATTGCACCGTGAAGTGGCTAAGTTTGCTGATGATATATAAATAAGCTAGCTAAGTCCAAAGCAACTGCAGGGAGTTACAGTGGATCTCACAAAACTAAGTGACTGGGCAACAAAATGGCAGATGAAATTCAATGTTAAATGCAAAGTAATGCACAGTGGAAAAAATAATCCCAACTATACCTATATAGTTATGGGTTCTGAATGAGATGTTACCACTCAAGAAAGATCTCAGTCATTTATTTCTCTGAAAATGTATATTCTGTTAGGAAAGGCACAGAACATAAGACAGAACGAATCACTATATAAATCCATGCCCACACCTTGAATACCCTGTCCAATTTGCTTGCCTCATCTCAATCAGAATATCTTGAAATTGGAAAACCAAGGGCAACAAAGATGATACAGGATCTATATTAGGAGAAAGCAAACATTTTAGAAAACACTAAAGGGTGGAGGATATGATAGAGGTCTATATAACCATGAATGTTGCTGGAAAATGAATATAGGAGTGCTCTTTGCCCTTTCATATAATACAAAAACCAGAGGGCCATTCAATCAAATGAGTAGGTGATTTAATAGAAACAAGAGGGAAAACTTCCTCACATAATGACCACCTAACTTGCGGAACTCATTGCTGTGGGAGGTTGTGATGATTAAAAAGTCTACATGGGTTCAGAAAACAGCTGGCCAAGTTCATGAAGGCAAGGCCTGCTGTGGGTATTAGCCAAGGTGATCAAGAATGGAATCCCATGCTTGTGACCGTAAGCCTCTGTGAGCCTGAAGCCAAGAGGATAAAAACCCGCAGCAACCCTGGGTGGCTCTCAGGTAATGCGGTAGTGGAAGGGCCGGGAGCTGCAAGCCCTTGGCTATGTTTTTAATTCAAAGCCTCTGGTCCCAGACAACTCTGGGGGGAAGCTGGTCCCCAGCTCCTTCCCTTTCTACACCAAGCCCCATCGCTTCCGGTGGTTGGAACCAGCCCGTGACTACGTCTCAAAATTAATTAAGTGGCCCCTCAATGAAAATTATTGCCCACCCCTGCTCGAGGTCTTGCCTGGGTTCATAGCTGAGGTGGTTAATTGTGCCTATGGCTACACAGCTTCCTTCTGGAAAGGGTCACAATGAAATAAGCAGGATCAGGCTGCTAGGTGGAGACCTCTCAGCTCAGTTTGACCATTAGGCTCCTCGAAACACCTCAGGGAGGGAGTCCGGGTTCCCAATGGGTCTCGTGCGCTTAAATCCCTCGGGTGCATTTGCAAAATCCCATCCTGAGAAAACAGATTCCCTCGTGTTGAATGTGCAGGACTGTGAGTGACAAAACCTTTCTCCTCAAATGGGACGCACGCCTCTGCTACACGCCGCATCCCCTGTTCTCGACATAAAATAAGAGCCAACAAGACCAAAGCCATCTTGATAGCCCCCACAAGGCCCAGTTAAACCCCTGTGGAGGATGGCAGCACGTACACCAGGCCTTCTGCCAAACCTTCTCTCCCAGGATGCCGAGTTTTAGCCTGATGAACTGACTTGCTCAGAAGAGGTGAAGGGCATAGTGCTAAGCAGAGAAGAACAATCGCCTGGAATACTTACTTGCATAAATGGAAGAGATTCAACATGTGGTGTCAGACAAACAGCCCAGGGCCACTACTGCCCTCTTACCACTGATATTAGGGGGGAATGGTAGAGTTGAAGAAACCTGGCCTATCACTTAGCCCAGTCAGGACACACTATGTGGCAGTTACCGCTTTTCACCACAAGGTGGAGGGGGTGTCTATGTTTGCCCACCAAATAATTTCTGAAGGGTATCAGAGATGTCGTACCTGAAATACCAGTCACCCCATCTCGGGGCTCCAACCTGGTACTACAAGAAGGGTATCAGAGATGTCGTACCTGAAATACCAGTCCTTACCCCATCTCGGAGCTCCAACCTGGTACTACAGTGTCTTGCTGGGCCTCTGTTTGAACCGTCTGTGACGTGTTCTCCGGTGCATCTCTCAGTGACAGTGGCCCTCATGTCTGCCTACTGAGTGGGAGAGCTAGGGACCCTCATGGAATGGCAAAAAAAGGCTGTAGGCCAAGCCTCAGATGCAGGAGCCAAAAGTGTGAAGAGGTGCTATGTTGGGGCCAATGTTCCCTCACATTTTTTCCATCGATGTGCAGAATACATTTTGTTCGGTGCACTGAAGCACTGCAGATGTGTACCGCCAATAGAAACACACGCTGCCAGCTGTGGAGTGTATTTGAATCTCTCCTGGGTGACCACCCAAGCGCTTAGCTTACAGGGGACACTGGTAGGGGGCCATATTCCGGACTATGCTGACGTTAGTTATGATTTCCACAATGGAATGGAAGGGGGCATAATGGGTGAGGGCTGAGGCGGGTAGGGATAACTTTAAGGGAGCATGGCTGGACTCTCAGGGAGTGCAGTCCTGTAAGCCGTGCTTCAGATAAAGGTTTGGCTCTGCTGGCCAAGGTCACAGGACTTGTACAGCGTGAGTGGTGGATAAGAGAGGCCGTGATAATGTCACATGGGCAGGCCTGCTCAGAGTGCCAGGGATAGAACAGCAGTGATGTTCATTAACAGGATGAGTAGCGAGTTTGCCAGCTCTCTGAGGCGTGTAGGTTGAGATACTAGGGTTTCCAGACAGCTTCACAAAAAATAGCGAACATGGCGGGAAAAAAATTGGTTGAACAACAAACAAACAAACCCACAGGGACCAAAGTTGTTGAGCCAAAAAAAAAAAAAAAAGTTTCAAAGGTTTTAATGCAACAAGCAAGTGCTACTTATGTCACACACCAGTGTATGACTCTGAGGCATCATTCATTGGGGGTGCCATTGTCTCAGAGGCTACATCTAGACTGCAGGCTGCTTTTGGAAGAGATCTTCCAGAAAAGCGTACTTTGAAAGACAGCGTCCACACAGCAAAGGTGCAATGAAAAAGCGATGTGTTGTGTTCAAAAGATAGCGTTCACATGGAGCGTCTATATTGGCAGGCTGCTTTTCCGGAAAAGCCCTTTTTCCGAAAAAGCGTCCGTGGCCAATGTAGATGCGCTTTTCCAGAAAAGAGCCCCGAGCGTCATTTTTGCGATCGGGGCTTTTTTCCGGAAAAGACTACTGGGCTGTCTACACTTGCCCTTTTCCGGAACAGTGTTCCGGAATAAGGACTTATGCCCGAGCGGGAGCAGAATAGTTTTTCTGGAATAGCGGCTGATTTTGTACAGTAGAGCATCGTTGCTTTTCCGGAAATTCAAGGGCCAGTGTAGACAGCTCGCAGCTTATTCCGGAAAAGCGGCTGATTTTCCGGAATAAGTGGCCCAGTGTAGACACAGCCCAAAGGTGCAATGAAAAAGCGATGTGTTGTGTTCAAAAGATAGCGTCCACATTGATTGGACACTATCTCACATTGAAGTTGTGATTAATCTGGACGGAGTGACCACCAGGGCACCTGTGTTATTTCCTGGAGGCCTCTTTTTGCGAAAGAACTCCCTCTTCTGTGTCCATACACGCCTTTTTCCGAAAAAGGCTTCTTCCTCGTAGAATGAGGTTTACCGTCGTCGGAAAAACCCCTCCGTTCTTTTGACTTTCTGTCAAAAGAATTCAATGGCAGTGCGGACTGTGGGGAATCATTCATTGGGGGTGCCATGGTCTAGACTGCAGGTTTCTTTTGGAAGAAGAGTCCAAAATGGCTGTTTTTCTGGAAAAATGCTGCAGTGTAGACACACTCTGAGATCGCTGGATGAAGGGTGCTATGTAAGAGTTCAGAGCCATTGTGGATTACTGGGAGGTGGCAGGGCTATTGTGACAGGCAGAGGATGTGAGGTTCAGGACTCTAGTGTACTACAGATTGGACATCCCTGGTCCATCACCCTGGGACCT